TGTGGATATTATTAAGTTTCAGGTTGTCCTGCATTTTCCTCAATGCCTCTTCATTCTTTTTGAGTACTTTTTCATTTTCTTGCTCTTTCTGGGAGCTTTTTTCTACTTCATCTTGTAGCTTGCTGATTCGATCCTCTACTTCATCTAGTCTGCTTTTGATTACTTCTACTGTGTTCTTCAGTTCAGAAACTGTATTCTTCATCTCCTCTTGCCTCTTATTGATAGTTTCTATGTAATGCTGATATAGTTTGCAGTAAGTTCCTGGTAGTTTCCCTGTAGTTTTTTGTAATTCTCTCTGAGCTCACTGAGCTTTATTAGAACCATTGTTTTGAACTTAATATCTGATAATTTATGTAACTCTATTTCATTTAGTTCTCTCTGTTGGGATTCCTCCTTTCCCTTTGACTGGGGGGTGTTTCTTTGTCTTCCCATTATTTGTGAGACTCTTTTTATTTTTTTTTTTGCTTTTGCTTCTTAAATTGATCTGTCTTGATTGCTTGACTTTGTGTTGTAAGCTTCTATGATAAGAGACCTCTATTTTTTCTTTCTGCCTCTGATAATGTCAGATATTGACCCTGTCTGACCTCAGGCAGTCTGTTTGAGACTTCCAGGAATCTACTTTCTGTGGCTGTCTCCTTTAGCTGTTAATCTAGTCATGCTGCACTCAGCAGTCAGGCCTAAGGCACCACAGGGTGTGCCAGAGTGCCTCCTGAGGGTAGGGTTATTGGGTCCTTTCACCATGCTGCTGCTGCTCAGGAGAGTGGTCTGCCTGGGCCAGATGGCTGTTGCCATATGGGTGGGGAGTCAGCACTGGGATCTCTCCAGCTACTCTCTCAGTTCTCTCCCCAAAGCCTCCTTCCTCAGTCTTTCCTCAGCCATCTCCAGCCCACTCTGCCCCTGCATTTTCTGGAGACAAGGGTAAGTGGCTGCAAACAAAAATTTATGTAGTGGTCCTTTAAATAGCTCTTTGTGTCTCTAGTTGCCCATCTCTTTCAGAGAGCAACCCTACCCCTTTTCACAGTTGGCTGTTATCTGTATACCTTTTGGGGTCTGGTGCTGTAGGCTGGAGATCCCCACTTATTGTTTAGACCCTGCTTATCTCAGGGGTATCCAACTGGCTGTTTCAGTATTCTTCTGGTGCAGCCGCCCATGGACTCCCTGCCCACCTTCTCAAATCTCTACCATACTTCTTACCAGTTAGGCTGTGCTAAAACTGATTCTTCTGTCTGTCTGAGGTTATGAGGTTCCTCTCTTGCTATTGTTCAGTTGTTTGTTCCAGGTGATTTCTCCACAATTTAGTTGTAATTCCAGGTAAACATGATTTTAAAAAATAAGATAGAATCTATTTAAAAAAATAAGGAGCTTATTAAACTTAAGTCTGTCTACACTCATTTCTATAACCTATGTTAATTCTATAGTTTATTTGTTTGAAAGCTAGGAAATTTTTAAAATATAATTTGCTACTATATTCTAGAAATTTATTAGTCAGAAATAAGTCACATGGTAGTCAGAAATAAATCACATGGTTCTTAAGTCTACAATGAAATCCATGTGAAGAAAACATGGAAAAGTAAGCTGAACAGTAATCGTTCCTTTAGAGAGATTGAAAGCTATTGAAGCAACTTGAAGGAAAAATTACTAAATAATTATTATCATTTGAAGTTAACTCAGTGTTTTATTTCTAGTGGCATATCATAAGGTTCATTAATAAGCACTGTCTTGTTTAATATTTCATTAAATAACTTGAATGAAGACAGATTTATCTATTTGGAAGAAAATAGGCATTTCTTCTGAACTGATAATGTTCACATGTAAAACCCACTCCCAGCAGAAACAGTAGCTCATTACTCACTGCTGTTGTGGGATGCTCTAAGTCCAACACTTATCACCCAACCAATGAGAACTGATTATAAGCTTTATTGTTAAACTAACAAGAAATATAAAACAGGAAATATTAAGACAATCATTTATTCAATGACCACTGTGTGCTTCTGGATGCCTTATAGACATCACTTTAACCCACTTGATAATCCATTTTTCAGAGATGAAAACTGAGGCTAGGTCACCCAGAAGCACATTTTAACCCAGGTGTACCTGACCTCAATATCCATGTATTTCTTTTATACCATATTTACACTCTTAATTGTGCTTATTTCTGGATCAATGTCTTAAGAGGGGTCATATTTGATGGGGTTCAGCATGCTTGAATGTGCCAGTTTTATTTGAAAATTGCATTAATCACATTTGTAGGCACCAGAGAGCAGTAGCAGCTCTGTTTTTTTCAAAAACATTTGTTTTAGTTCACAGACAACTTAATGACAACATTTACAGAAATTGAATTTCCTACAAAGGAGGGGGCATCAAGGTAAACTTGACTTTCAAGCAAACTTGAGAGCTAGGAAATCAGTCTCAAAGCTGTGTTTGCAGAACGAGCACAGCCCTGACTCGGTATTTGCTTAGCTGGCAGTAGCTTAAAAAGATAGGCTAACAGAGGTGACGGTGAAGCTCTGCCACATCATTCCCAGGTGCCACCATTATAGGAAAGTGTCCCATCACTCACAAAGGGAACAGAACTGAAAGAATCCACAATCACTGTCTCCAGAGATGTGGAAGGAAATCAAGTATTATTGGAAACAATTAGAAATTAGAAATAGAACCAGTGGCTGGAAATTACTGCAAGGATGTAGTGCAAGGAGACATGTCCTAATTCATAGGCCACTGCTTAAGTCACTGGAAAAGTTTAAGGCTTCAACTTTAGACAGAGGCCAGAGGTCCCCTGGCTCCCCTTTATGATTCTGTGAGTTAAGTAAGGCCTGCTCCACAGTCACAGGGGGATGGGGGACACGAACACAAAAGAGGCTTCTGGGTTGTGAGACAGACTGATGCACTTGAATTACTGAGTGAACAATACAGCATCTGGAAAATTCTTAGGCACAGACAAAGCATGGGAGTTCAGACAAAAGGATAGTGCATGGGGGCAGGAGTGGTCAGGGAGGGATGCATCCACAAGAGGGAACTTGAGCAGGACCTTGAAAAAAGTATCATTTTAGCAAAGAAAAACATCATGTTTTCTCTTGCTGTCTCCACAGAGTCAGGGCAATGCGTAGAAGCCTTTTTTTTTTTTTTTTTTTTTTTTTTACAAAAGGAGTTTAGGATGAAAGGGGAAAATTTCAACAAATTCATCTTCTGCTGCCTGAATATAAACTTGTGCTTTCCCTGAGCTCTCCTCACCATCAATTTCTTTAGGTCACTAATATTTGCTAGGGACTTATGACATGCCGGACAATGTGCTGTCAAGCGGAGTATAGTCTGTGTGACCTCATGGAGCTCTGAAGCAAGAACCCCGCAAGACTGGCGTTACTGTGTTTCTCTTCACAGAGCCCAAAGCCCGGGGAGATGAAAAGACCGTTCTAGCACCCCCAGACGGCCAGGGCAGAGCTAGAGCACAAAGCCCGGCCAACGGACACCGAATCCCTTGTTCTTTGGGTTGCTCTCTGCTGATCCTTTCATTGTCATCATCTTTATCACTTACATGGCCTCCTGGAAATAAGCATTTTGCCAAAATGAAGCAAAACTTTTTCCTGCATTAATATGTTAGGCCAGTGTCTTTTCCAGGACTGCAGAGGTGAAAGGGGCATCAGGCTGTGGCAGATAAAAGATACGTCCTTGGTAGAACATCAGGCTAAGTTTCTTGCCCAAATCTTCATGATTCGCAGAATTGGAGAACTCGATGGAATATCGATGCTCATTTTACACATCATTGGCCTTTGGTGACATGAGAGAAGTCACCTGTTGGACCAGAACTCGGGCATCCTGTTTCATATCCTGAAACATGTGAGAGTATCTTTCTAGCATCAAATTTAAATGTCTTGTCTGTCATATAGACTCTTAAGTGCAGCTGTGGTCCTCTGGTCACTAAGTCAGTTCTTTTCAAATTCAGCTGCACATTAGAATCACTTGGAGTGGTTTTTAAAGATCTCACAGCTCAGGTGAATCAGAAGCTCTGTGGACAGGGCCCAACACTAAGATTTTGTACTCTGCCTCAGTGATTCAATGTGCTGCAAGGCTGTGAGCCACGCTCTCCAGCCGAGGCTCAGAAGACCATGGCTGGCAACAACACTCACCTGGTTTCCAAAGAAACTTTCACTATTTTCTTTTGTGTATAAAATACATTTAGATTCACAAATACACTGAGAATTTATAATCCTCCTGCCCGAATAATGTTTTTAAGACACACATCTGATCACATGACTCATCTCTCCCTGCAGGGCCAGGACTAGGGTGAGGGGAGGGAAGTGCTTACATCACAAAATGTAAAGAGAATCCCCAGTCTAGTCACCTTTGTTCCCAAGTGCAAAGCTTTCCTTAGACTGAGAGAATAAACTGTGAAGGCAGCCTGACGTGACCTGAACACTGGCTGTGCCATCTGGAACGTCTTTAACTGTGGCTGTAAGCTAAGCTTCTCATGCCTGTTTTCTGCCCTATAAACCAGATGGGGTTGTTGTAAGAATCAAATGAAGTCGCTGCTTAGCAGTCGCGAGTGTCAGTGCACCTGCCCGGCTGGCAACTTCTTATCCTTCAAGGTCGAGCACATCTTCTTTTCTCTGTTAATTTTCTTCTCCCCACCTTCTCACCAAGGTCAAATCAACTGCCCTCTCATCTGTACCGTGTGATACTTCAGCACACTTTGGAACTGCCCTACAGGATAGTAGCTGTCATTCTAGTGTCTGTGTTTCCTGCTATAAGGCAATCAGTAAAGGGGGCAAGAAAGGCTCTGGAGTGGGTTAGTCCATGTTTGAACCCCATCAGAAATTGCTCGCCACAGGATGACCAGTATTTACACATGCAGAGAAGTTGAGAAGTGGGTTTTCCAAATGTGGAAGCTACTTTCAAGAAGAGGAAGAATGAGTACAGGTCATGCTGGGAACAGTGAGGAGACTCAATGGAACAGAAAATACACACTGGGAAACGTCAAAAGAGAAAAAGGATGGAGTGCAAGCAGCGTAGCCAGTATTAAAGGGCCTCGGTATCAGGGAGAAAGAGTCTGAACTTCCTCAGGCAGTTGCTGCAGGTTTGCCTCTAGAGCTGTGGTGGGAATCCTTCACCTTTCCATTCAGCAGGTAGGTGGCGGGCTGCATGATGTTCATCAGAACTCCCACTGGACTCCAACTGAACTTGTATCTCAAAGGATTGTCTGAATGTTCAGGGGCTGGAAGCCCACCACAGTAAGAAATGTAAGATTCAATCTGTAAAATAAGCAATCAATAAATCATGGAGGATTAACAATAAATGAGTGAGAATAATATATCTAAGTAATTAATTGAGTCTAATGACAGGCACAGGGTACACTTGCAACAGTTTTTCCTTTCTAAGGTGTTCCAAAATATGTCCTTAAAGACAAACACCATTGGATTAAACCAGAGTTACACTTTGTGTGCACTAATTTTTAAAAAAATCTTCTAGAGATTGCAACTATCATTTTGTTTAGTTAAAAATGTAACTATCAATTCAATTCTGATCAGTTAGTTCTTCCTGACTTTTGCATTCAAATTGTATGTTGTATTATAATTTTATTATATATTATATGTAATTTTATATATATTCATCAATATATGACATATAGTTAATACAATTATAATTCATTTGAATCTACATTTCATTATGTATTATATACATAAAGCCTAAAACATTTAATTTGATTCATATATTTACATGCCCCATAATTCCTTCTCATATATAAAAGACACTTCATGTAGCAACAGATGAATGATATTGTAAAGAATATTTTTCATTCTTAAAAGTCAGACCTTATTATAGAATCTTATGGCAGTCAAAAATCTTTTTATTCAACCAAAATATTGTAGTAGCATCTATTTCTCTAAAAATTTATTGGTAAGACTTGGCCATGGGTTTACAATGCATGTATTTCTGTAATCACAGAATTTTACTTGAAATTTCTGGTCAAAGTATGAGCTAGAATATAGCAACACCTTCAATCAAAATTATACAAAGTTTATTTCTGAACACAGAAACCTGGACCTTGGAATGGTTTCCTAAGCGGAACTTTGGGTGTCCATGGGGCTCACCGTGGCTCCCACTTCTTTGGCTTTATCTATTGTTTCCATTGCCAGCATATGATCAAGACCAGGGTCCAGTCCCAATTCACCAATGAGAGTGATGCCAGCATCTTCCACACTACAACAGGTGAAAAGAGGAGGAAGGAAAAGTTGGATATAAAATAAAAGTAATGCCGTGGAGCTTCCTGGTTGAAAATGACTGAAACTTACCTCTTTTCTAATTCCTTTAGCGCTGGTGTGATGTAGCTTGCTGTAACCATGTTAACTTTGCTTGTGACGCATGCCTTGGCCACAAGAGGATGCAATACATACGGCAGCAAGCTTTAAAGTACAGAGAGGAGCTAATCAGAACTTTCTTGTCCAATCCTACTTTTCAATGTAGCTTGAACTGCACTGAAGCTGAGACATTGCCCTGATTAATTTATCCTCTCAGAGATGATCGGTGAGTCCTTGAGGACTATACAGTAAGTGCACCCTGTTATCACATTTAAAACTTTCCACAATAACCTTTCCATTTTTCATCCTCAATCTTTTACACAAATCATGTGTGGGAACCAAAGAAGCTATTGTAACTCTCTGCTCCCAGCTTTTACTTTACCACCTCTGAACCTTCAGTGTCCCTGTGACTTCCGCGTGGAATGCTCCCTTCACCCTCCCACCCCAACCGAGGTCATATGCTCCTTAAAAAAGTGTCTGAACAGTTACCACCTCCAAGAAGCTTTCCAGATTTACCTGAAGACAGACTTTCTTCCTCTTCAAACATTCAGCTCTTTCTTTATAACATGTAATGAAATCTATCCCACCCATCCTTACATCTGTATGATTTCCTTGTCTGAGGCCAAACATTATTATTTGCTTAGGCTTGCATTATTTCCTTACCTACTAAAAGGTAAGATTGCTGTCCTTTCATCCTCCACATCACCAAAATAACTATCAGGGAGTAAATGAGGGAATAAATGAGGGAGGGAATAAAACTTAGTGGAGATGGCCTGTGTGCTACATTATAGAGTGAAGACTAGGAAGAGAAACTTCATTTTGCCTTCAGTTTTAAATGGTAGTCTTTCTGGTCAGAGTGGTCTTGGTTGCAGATCGTTGCTTTTCATTACTTTGAATATGCCATGCCAATCTTTTCTGGACTAAAGTATTGCTGTTGAAAAATCAGCTGACTGCATTATGGGGGCTTTTTTGTAGGTAACTATTTTTCTCTTGCTGCCTTTAAGATTCCTTCTCTCCCTTTAATCTTTGTCATTTTAATTATGATGTGTTTAGTGTGGGTCCTTAGGTTTGTGTTGATTTGGACTGTATGTGTTTTCTGCACAACAGTAGCAACAACAACAAAAGAAAAAAGAATCAGAAAATAGCAAAGACAAAAATAATAGTAAAAAAATGCAAGAAGACAAAAGGAAACTGTTATGAGAGGAAAGAGGGAAGAGAAATGATAAGAATAAGAAATAAAAAATTTTAAAAAACCAAAAAGAAGGAAAATAAAAAAGAAGAAAAAATAGAGTAAGAAAAGTAAGGAGAAAAATGAGATACAAAAAAGTAGAGAACAAAAAATAAAAATAGAAGAAAAAAATGAGAAAGCTATGAAAAAGATAAAATAACAAAAATAATGAAAGAGAACCAAGTGAAATTCATCTCTGCAGAGTTTAGTGCCTGACTATTGGGATCTTCCTTTGGATGCATCTCCAATGTTGTCTGAAGCTGGTGTAAGTCAGTGTCAGATGGCGTCCATATCTGGCCTTCAGCTGCTTATTTGAAACAACAAGTAATACACAGCCTGTGGCTGCTTCCACCAAGCTTGGCTGTGAACAGAAGGGGCCAAGCTGCACTCCAAGGTAGGCATTGTTCAGTACAGGGCCCAGGTGCAGGTCAGCAAATGTTCCAAGGTGCCACCTCCACCTCCCTCTATTTGCCAGCTGACTGTCAGACTTAGACAGTAACCAACTGTACATGGTTTCCGGTGGAGTCAGAAGGATGGAACCCGTAGATCTCCCATGAGGGTGAGGTGCTGTTCAGACTTCAGGGAAGACAGTGTGTGTGTTCTCCTGCCCCAGAGCCACATGTCTGAATCTGTTCCAGATGATCTCCCTGAACTTGGCATTGTGGAGCCCCTAGTAGGCAGATAGATGGGGCTTCTGCAGCCCAGAATTTGGATCTGCTGGAAACCAGGAGGGTGTGTAGACCCAGTGTTCCTACTGGCTCTCTCGTCAAGCAGAAGCACCCGTGTGCTTCCTAGGAAAGTGTAGAGAATGGCCACACACCGAAGTCTGTCTCTGGCACCCACCAAGTCTGCCTATGCTGCTCTCTCCTCAGCAGAGGTGAAGATGCAGGATGAAGAGAAAAAGACGCGGGGTGGAGCAAGCGGGATTGCAGAGGGTGGGGTGAGTAGTATCCCAAAAGGTGATGTAAGTGTTCTAACTGGTGTTGATTTCCCCGGAAGGGGCTTGCTTTTTTTCAAGGAAAATGACCACGGCCTTATCAGGGGATGACCCTGTGCAGGGACCCCACAGCTGCCCCACCATGCCCCCCTCCAGTTCTTCCCACTCCAGGCTCTTCTCGGGTGGCTCCAGTTTGCACCACCCTTCCCTCGCTGAAGCCTCCAGGTACTTACTGTAAATGAAACACTTTTCTTTGGCTTTTCAAGAAAAAGAGTTGCTTTGTCTCCAGCAGGCTCCTTCTCTCCCTGGCAGATAGAAACTCTTCTGCTCTTCACTGCTGGATGCTATGTGGGTGGCTGATCTTGGCTCTGGCCTCCATGTTGGGGAGCCAAGTCTGGGGTTCAGGCTTCACTTCTCTCAGGGGGAAGTTTCCACAGCTGAGCTATTCCTCTGAACCCTAAACTTGCCACCTGTGGGAGCTGCAACAGCCCCGTGTGTGACCCTGCCTTTCCTACCAGCCTTGGGATGGTTTCTGCCCATCCTTGGTTAAAAGTCCCTCTTCAGGTAGTCTTTGGTTGGTAATTCTGGGTGACTGTTCCCCCATTTAGTTTTAGTTCCAGTTTGGTTCTGGAAAGAGATGTGAGAAAGATCCTCCTACTGTGCCACTGTCTTGCAACTCCCTTAACATAGTTTTAATCTTTGAAATTCATAAATGTTTAAGTTATTTGAAAAATTAAATTAAATCAAAAGGGATTTAAAAGCCAAAATAAAATGTAATGGTAACACAACAATTAATCCAACTGGATATCACGTTGACAATGGAACCATACAAAAAAGTAATGCAAATAACTTTTATACAAAGCATTCCTTGTGAGATCTATTCTAAAAAAAGTGAAAGAAACACTAAATTCTATTTAATAGGTTTTCATTGAGATATAATTGACATACAACATTATTTTACTTTTAAGTGTACAACATGATTACTAGATGTTTGTGTATATGGTGAAATGATCACTATACTCTCTTACCGTTAATAACTTTATTATTTACTGTAATATTAGCATTGCAATTCCAAAATTATTGTATTCATATTTTGGGATAAAACAATGTACATTCATTTTATAAGAAATTAAAATTTTCACTGCTGAAGACAATTGATGCAAATATAAAGTTTTAAAGTAAAGAAAAACCTGCAATGTTAAATTTTAATTGGAAATATTGGCATTAATTTATGCTTAAATTATGTATGTGTTTGTGTTTGTCTACTTTTTTGCTCTGTCCACTAAAAGGGGCAAGAGCAACAATATCTCAGTAACATAAACACACCTAGCAGAAGATACCAGATCTTGGTTTTTATAAACTAAAAGAAATCTGGGTTCCTTGATGAAGTGGCTTATGGCAGGTGTGGGGCAGAAAAAGCAGAAGATGAAGCTAGGACAGTTTGTTTTTTTCGGGTGACCAGAAATCTCTGAGATGAAAGGATTCATGTCTGAGAGACATAGGAGCTGCTTTTCTTCCCTTGTTTTTTGTATTTTGGGGACGATAATATAACAGTGATTGAAGTAAACACAGTATACTAATCAGGTGGTAATCATAGAATAGTCTGTACCAACACTCTCACAGAAGATTAATGCATTAAAGGTTTCCTCCTTAACCAAGGAATGACCATGACCACAAGCAATTGGGCGAGCTTCAGCAGCTTATGTCAGAACCAGCAGAAATAATGCCTGCAAGCTCTGTTCCCAGATACCAGCACTGAAGCTTGGATGGAGTGATGAAACCACATGAGGAAGCACGCAGGAGATAACATTGAAACCACCCAATAGCAGAGCTAGAACCTGCACATTGCCAGAAATTCATTAGTTCCCCTCTTCCCACAGTCCCCTTTTATAAACTAACCAGGACACCTAAAATACTAAGATGGGCTTTGAGATGAGAGTCCCTTATCTTCTGGGTTGCTGGCACCTGAATAAACCACTTTCCTCCATCAGCACCTGCCTCTCAAGTATTTATTTTCAAAGTGGCAAGCGGCTGGACCTGTGTTTGGTTACAACAACACTGAAATAGCAGAGGGTATTCACTTCCAGATCTTCAAAAATAGAGACCATGTTTTATTTTATTTTTGCTTTTGCTGGAAAACATTCTTATTTTATTAATCTTTATGTCTCAATATATTATTAGTACTAAATACATACTTTGGTCAAAATGAATTTAAATTTCAACTGTCTGTTCTTCTCTTAAGATGACATATATGTACAAATAAGCATTACCTCTGAGTATAATACCTTATTTGGCTCTTATGAAAGTGTGAAAGGAGTAGAAAACATCAAAGCATATCAATGTCAAATAATGAGAAAACATATCTACATATCAGCCAATATCAAATTAAACCACGTATTTAATTATTGAGGAAACAGAGTGATAAGGTGACATACGATGAGGTCATACTGGCATTTAAAGAATGCATTGAAACTTACTGTTTCAGCAATCCTACCAGATATCTGTTCCCAAAAAACAGATGAGTTTTAAAAAAAAATGACATCAGTAAATAACAGATGAGTTAAATTTACTTTACTTTCTTGTACTTTATTCTCTGATTGTCTTGGCAGGAGTTAATGAAGTTAAGCATAAAAATTCGGACCCTGTCCCTAAGTCCAGTTGTGTGTTTAACCTAAAATTAACCCCTTTTCTTTGCAGAGTATTGATTAAGTAATAATTTAGCAGGGGATATTTAAGCGGATATTTTAAAAATGTTCAGGCCTGCAACATTTCATTGACCCTGATATTACTGCTATTATTACTGTAGCAATTAAACTCTAATACCACCTTTAAAATGACAACTACAAATTTATTTTCTTTCAGGTGAAATCTGAGCTAAAGACTTGATAGGACCCTTTGCAAAGGAGATCTATGGACCAATATTGAAGTGAATTATCTATACAACACAGAGCACAATAAAAACTTCACTGAGAATTCTATTTTCTTTTTATCTTCCTTGGTGAAACAGCTCTAAACATTTGTGCTTGCTACAGTGCTA